GCAATACACAGGGCCATCACGTGTGTTCTGTTATTCACTTGATTTCAGTGACCTCCAAAATGTCACCCCAGGATGGGGGTGGCTGGCTCCTGAGCAAAGTTCTCTTAGGGTTATTTTAAGCATTAATTGATGAGCTAGGTTTTTGAGATAATTTTTCTAATTCTCCTGCTTTTGGTTTCCCTAAGCGTCAGTGCAAACAGACCCCTGTTTGTTTGTCTGGAGTTTATCATGTGACGCTTCCTTGAAGGTAGAGGTTGACTTTTCTCTTTCCAGGCACAGCATGCTCCTAAAACGTTGTTGAGGTGATTTAAAAAAAAGGAATGAAATGTAAATAATTTTATGATATTAGTGGCATAAGCAAGGTCCTTGGAGCCATGACCTTAATATCGGGCTAGCCCTGCTCTCTGGGGGCAGAGGAGTGAAATGCAAGGGCGGCACATAGAGCATGGATGGGACAGGTGAAGAAGAGACCAGGATGCCTGTGCCCCCTTGAAGGAAAGGGGAGCCACGCTGAACCAGACTTTGGAAGATGGAGGATTTAGGCTTAGAGAGGCGGGGAGGGTTGCAGGTGTAGGGGAGGAAAAACTTTATCCCACTACCCTGCTAGGTTCACTGGCCAGGGCCGCTGCAAATTAAACTGATAAAAGACAGATTAACAAGAGAAAAAATGGATGTGATTATATACATAAACAGGGACAATCACAGAGAGGCAATTAGAATTTGGAGGTATATATACCATCCCTAGGGGTGACAAAGTGTGGAGAAGAGGTGAGACAAAGGAAAAGGGGTTGGGGGCTCTTTTGGGGGAGTAGGTTAAGGGGGGCAGTGACTAGGAAATGTGTGATAAGCAAAGATGGTTTAGTAAGGTGTGTGCAGATTCAAGTGGGTGCCTTATCCATTGATGAGAGATGGTACAGGAGAGGGAGACACCTTTACAAATGTAAATTTCCTATTTTTAGAGCTTTTCTTGCATCTGCGTTTCCTCAATTGCCTTCTGCTCAAAATAATCCTTATGCCAAAGTGGCATATTTTGGGGTGGTAGTCTGGTCCCCTTCACAGGTGAGCTAAGGCAGAGGCATTATGTGGGCAGAAATTAGCAGCTCATTTTGTGTGAATGAGGTGTGGTGGGAGGTCAGGCTGGGAGCAGAGGCCCAGGGGAGATGGAGGGTGTGGGGCCAAGAAAGTCTAAAGCTCACATCTTGAAAATAAGGGGCACCCTTTAGCTCAGTGCTATCCAGTGAAACCTTTTGTGATGGTGCAAATGTTCTAGTCCGTGCTGTCAAATAAATATGCTAGCCATTAGCCACATGTGGCTGTGGAGCACTAGAAATATGGCTAGTGTGATTGCATTTTGAATTTTATTTGAAGCCATTTAAATGTAAATGTAAATAGCCCCAATGGCTTGCGGGCACCCTTTGGACAATGTTGGGTAGATCTTTGGGAAGATGATGTCTATGGTGGTATATCAAGTAGATGTGGAGCAGGGGACACTTACAGAAAGATGTCCCTCTGCCCTACAGGAGGTGGTTGGCACCCTTGCTCCTCTGGCCTCCCTGTCCAGTGTTCCCAGAGATGGGTCAGGAACCCACTCCCTGCTCTAGGTCCCAGTGTCTGGTCTGTGCCTCTGGTACAGCACACACGTCTCTGCTGCCTGTCTCTCACACCCCCGGCTGCAGGCTCCACGCCCAGCCTGGTCTAGCTCTCTCCATCCCTCACGTGGCATAGGGATTCCCAGGCTTTATTGCTGCCCTCTGGGGGTCATGTTTTGCTTTGACTTTTGGAGAAACTGCTGTATATCAGAGAAGATGCTCTTTGGCCCCTCTTTGCTGTTAACCTTGAAGTGAATGCTGATGTGCATGAGTTTTGAGAATCCCTCACATCCCCCATAGTGGGAGGAAAGAAGACATCGGGCGAGGCGGGATCCTGAAGCATGTCTAAACCCTGAGAAATGGAGTAACATAAAGAGTCCACGGTGGTCCTGTGTTCAAAGTGTCATGTCCTACACAGCCCGAAGGGCGGTTTCAACTGGCCTAATGTGGGACCATTTGAAGATCCAAATAAATGGTAATGGCAAAGGATTATAGCTTATGGAATAAAGTAAGACGGCACAAGTCCACACTGATATAAATAAATGGATGATGAAATGGGAGAGAAGAAAAAGTTGTTACTAACAGTAGAAAGTCAATTAATAAGTGCAGGAATGATGGAATTAGAAATTCACCATTTTTTATATATCCTAATAACTGATTAAGGCAAGACTCATCAAAACCTAGTGGTCTCAGAGTACGTCAGTTTTGAATAACAAAGGGGAAAATGGTAACTTTATAGTGAAGAAACCTGGCAGGTATCACCTGAGCCAGATGAACAAAGTTCGCACGGGCAGTAATGATCCACAGCAGGTGCCTCCCGGTAAGCCCACTGACGAGAAGGCAGCACCACTTCTGTGCTGTTCTTGCCTAAAGTTCGTAAACTGAATCTAACCGTAAGAAAACGTCGGCATACCCAAAGTAAGGGACAGCCTACAAAATAATTGGCCTGTGTTGTTCAAAAATATCAACATCTTGAAATACAAAAACTCAGAAACTTGCAGATTAAAGGAGACTAAAGAGATCTGTCATTTGAATGCAGCACACAATTTTGGATTTCTTTTGCCATAAAGGATGTTATTGGAACAACTGAGGAAAAATCTCAGTAAGGTCTGTGGATTAAATAATAGTATTGTCTCGATGTTGAAAGCGAAAATAAATGTAGTAAAATATTAACATTTAAAGAATCTGGATGAAAGATATCCAGGAATTTTTTTGTACTGTTCTTGTAACTTTTCTGTTAATCTCAACGATGTCCCTCCTAAAAAGCAAAATATTCATTGATCAGTTCTGGTGGAGGCATACAGGTGTTCACTGTAGCATTATTATTATTATCTTGAGACAGGGTCTTGCTATGTTGCCCAGGCTGGCCTTGAACTTCTAGGCTTAGCCTCAGCCTCCCAAGTAGTTAGTACTACAGGCATGCACTATCACACCCCACTGTAGTGGTCTTTAAACTATTCAGTGTATTTAAATATTTTCATAATTAAAAGTGGGGGGAAAATTTATAAAAAATATCATGTTCTAAATGTTTATTTAATATATAGAGGCTTGGATATCATTTGTTAAGGGTAGCCTAGATTGAGTTAAAAGATGAGTATAAATGACTTGGTTATGAGTGAAATCACTTGAGAGTGTTTTCAAATCTGTGAAATTAACTTTTGTTTTCATTTATGTACAGTATGGCCCAGCACAGTATCCTGCCCTTATAGTCATTCTGATACTTGCTGAATGAATCAAGCACAAGGTGGAAGTTCTGCCTCCCTTCCCCCCTCCTTCCCAGGGGCTCAGAATACCTGTCTCATTAAGAAGATCTTAAAGATGTGCCCACTGTCATCTGAGTTGAATTAACAAGTCCAATCTGATGTTTATTGAGATTCAAGATTTTTTCTGAGCATGTTTATGTAATATTTAAAGCTTATGCAGTTTTCAAAATGCAATTTTAAACTCCCTGCCTCTGAATTTCTATACCCCCTTTTTACAAAGAATACATCTTTAACATGGTAGAAGGTGGCACTCATTTTCAGGTTCTAAAAAATTAACCAAAGAATACATACATTCCTAGGTTTTATAATAATTTTTTAATAAAATCTTTATTCTGCTTTTGTATTCAGAGGCACTTGTATATGATCTTCTATTAGTCTTTATGGAGGTAGCAGTTAACTTTGGCAGACATTTTTAGCTACCTAAGCAGAATCCTCAGCACTGAAGATTCAAAGATGAATGATACGTATTCCCTGAACTTGTGCAGAGTATCTTTTATGATGACCTTGCCTCTGCTAAAATCTTTTCCCTTGGTTTCTTGGGGGAGGCAACTTGCCAGAGAGGTTGAATAGGTGTCCTGGTGTAGCCTTTAGGAGCAGGGAGATCTGCCACGGCATATCTGGGAGATGGCGGAAGCACCGAGATTGCAGAATGAGCTGCAACTCTCTGAGATGCCAGCACCAGAGGCCACTGTTCACTGGGTTTGATGGAGGAACCTGCCATTCTCAATTTACAGGCAAAATCAAACAGTGCAGAGGAATTGGTATCAAGATGTGCAATTACACTGTGGATTCTTTATTTTCAGGCAGCACTGCAAAGCTATTAGGCTTTAGATTTTTTCTTGCCTTGTTCTAGCAAGTGGAAGAGATCTTTATAAATTTGGCTGTGAAAACACAGATTTAGAGTAACAGTAGGATTTATAAAATGCAGATTCATGAAGAGAAAAGGCAGTGTATTATTACCAAAGAAGGACTAGGATGAATTAAGCTTAACACAGTATTGGTTACTGCAGTTTTTTTCCTTTTGCTAGAATTCAGAATGATCACTCCCTTCCCCTGCTTAGCACTGTCGTCAGGCTGATGTCACAGTTAGATTCGTCTCTGCTTCTCAAGCACGCCACAGGAAATCTGTCATCTGAAGGCGTTGGGCATTGCTTTACCAGGGCACCTCCTCTGCTAGCACCCTACCTTTAGACAGGTGTACCTGCCTAAGGCTTGGTTGGTATCGCCCTGTGCAGTTGCTATGAAACTTCCAGGAAGCTACCATTCCTCATTGCTCCTTGGGGGAGAAAAAGTGGCGAGAATCTGGAGGCGAGAGCTTGCTGAGGTCCTGTACTTGCCTGCCGGGCTCCCCTCCAAATCGACTGCACCTGTCAGACATTCCTGCTCCACCAGGTACTTCTCCCCGCCCCATCCCTCCTCCAGGTTTGTGGGAGCCGCCCCCTTCCGGGTCCTCCCTGTGTGATGCTGGGCTGTGGCTTTATGCACACCCCTGCACTGCAGCTGAGCCAGGGCATGCCTGTGGCCCAGGCCAGGGCCCAGCGTGTGCCCCGTGGGCCCGGGCCCCCATGGCTCCTCCAGGCATGCAGGCCAGAGCTCCCTCGAGGATGGCCCCTTAGGGTGGTGTTTCAGTTTGGGGGTGACTTCAGCAATGTCCCTGAGAGACGTGGAAGGGGAAGAAGAATGTTTTGAATATGACTGCCAGGATGAAGAGAGGAAACCCACCCACGAGCAGTATGACACCTTGGACCTCTTGGAAGAGGGTAAATTCTGTACTTTGCTCAGATTTTATCCTTTTGTCGTTAGCGTCTAAGTAGGCTTTACTATTTTACTGATTTCATAGCATTCTTATTTTTTGATTGAGGTATGATTTAAAATACACAGATCGCATGTGAATGGCCTAAAGCCACCCTTGTAAGATGCCCAGCCAGAAAAGCAGCATTTCTAGCCCCACTGGAAGTACCCGGCCCCTTTCTAGTTTACCTAGGTCCCCAGAAGCCATTGTTCTGACTTCTGTCACCTTAGGTTTGTTTTGTCATTTCCTGATCTTTGTGCACAGAATCAAACAGTGTGTATTATTTTGTGTCTGGCTTCTGTTGCTTAAATAAGGTCTTTGAAATTCATCCATGTTGCTGCAAATATCAGTAATTGTTTTTTTTGTCTTTTTCCTTTGTGGCACTCCAGCATTCTGTTTTAAGAATTTCAGCTGTTTTCTTGAAACTGAATGGGTTTCGGTAAGTTAATGGACAAGAGACTGAGTCGTTATTAAGAAAAGCATGTTTTTGTGCTGGCAGTGTTTATTTTTTAAAAAATGATTAATCACTGATCTGAAATAAGGATTGTTTTTTAAACTTAGAAATATTTCAACGAGAAAAGCCCAAGGGCCGACATTGAAATCACCTGGGAGCCCACTGTTGGGCTCTCTCAGAGGGACGCCCCTTTGTGGGGGGGAAGGAGGATGTTAAGTAAAGATAGGCCCAGATGCCGGTGTGAGTTCCTAGAGGGGCTTCTGGGGCCTTCACCCACAGCCCAGAGAAAGGGACTTTTGAGGGTGATCAGGATGTTTGAACAGTGACTACATGGACGTTCCTTAGTTCTCTTGAGTAAAAGCAATCAGAATACGTTTTCCAAAGTCTGCTTCAGGATGGTCTGTTTTTACATCTTAGAATAACTTTTATTTTCAAAATTATTTATAATCTGAGAAAGAAATTACTTGGACAGCTAAAAATATATAGAAAAAATTAGCCGGGCATAGTGGCACATGCCTATAGTCCCAGCTACTTGGGAGGCTGAGGCAGGAGGATCGCTTGAGCCCAGGAGTTTGAGATTGCTGTGAGCTAGGCTGACGCCACGGCGCTCTAGCCCAGGTAACAGAGTGAGACCCTGTCTCAAAAAAAAAAAAAAAAAAGAAGTTATTTATGATCTGTTATATATTGAAAGTGTTTCTCTTTTGAAGTTACTGTCCTGAAAATGTTAATACTTCACCTCCAGGACAGCTAAAAATATTTTATTGGAGAAAGGGAAGAAACAGTGGGACAAGCTGGAGAGCAAGGGGCCCAGTGCTGAGGCCTGGAGCCTGGCTGGCGCCCTCCTGGCCCTCTCAGGAAGGAGACGGGAGGGAAGAGGAATGACAAGAGAAAGGCATCCATCTGCTCTTGTAGAACTAGGGCCAGCCCAGATTTAGCTGGATTAGCTTCCTGTCCCTTAAAGCAGAGCCGCTGCAAGTGCAGCCGGTGCCCGCATCACCTGGGAGCTTGCTGGAAATGCAGACTCTCAGGCCCCAGCCCAGACCCACTCAGTCAGATCTGCATGGTAGCAAGATCTCCAGATGACATGCGTGCATGTTAAAGTACGAGATGAGCCGCTGCCTTAAAGCATAACAAGATGATTTAAAAAACCAGTCATTGAAACTTATGATTCTAAATTAAAGGCATACAGTATTCGGGAGCAATATTATATATCCTAATCAAGAGAAGAAAAGCATCGTGCACTGTTCATATGTGAAATATATATATATATATATGAAGAGATGTGTGCATGTATACATACACACACACATATATATACTCTCCATATATTTTGTTGACCCAATGAAATAACAGGCACTAGAACTTAGAGAAATCAAGGTTAGATTTATTCTTTTTTTTTTTTTTTTAAGACAGAGTCTTGCTTTGTTGTCCGGGCTAGAGTGCCCTGGCATCAGCCTAGCTCACAGCAACCTCAAACTCCTGGGCTCAAGCGATCCTCCTGCCTCAGCCTCCCAAGTAGCTGGGACTACAGGCATGCACCACCATGCCCGGCTAATTTTTTCTATATATTTTTAGTTGTCCAGCTAATTTGTTTTTAATTTTTTTTTAGTAGAGACGAGGTCTCGCTCTTGCTCAGGCTGGCCTTGAACTCCTGAACTCAAACGATCCGCCCGCGTCGGCCTCCCAGAAGGTTACATTTATTCTGAGCCAAGTTTGAGGACTTAAGCCCGGGGACACAGACGCAGTACAGACTGAGAATATGTCCTAGAGTAGGTTGCATGAGGCACAGTATATATATATTTTCCAACAGGGGTGTGCGTGTGGCACAGAAGGTGGGAGAAGCAGGTAGTGAGGCAACAGCTACATTCTCGTGGTTCTGACTGGTGCTCAGTGGTGCTGAGTGTAAGATAAGGTAAATATGCAGTTGAGTGGGGAGGGAGAAAATTTTGGTGTCTTAGGTCTGGTGGAGGGTGACTGATTCCATCTGTCTTTGTTCTGCATCTGATACACAGGTTTATGACCAGTACCTGTCAGTGAGATATTTAGCAAACTCCAGTTACATAGGCAAGAGGTCAGCTTTGGGGCCCAGGTTTCATTCCCTGTGTGCCTGACAGCAGCCATCATGGGCTACTGTTAAAATTTTCTTGTGAATTTTCCTTTTTCTGATTTTTATGTGTATGTATGTATATATATATATATGAACTTTTTTAAAAACTGAGAGCCAGATGATGGTAGCAAATGTTTATTATGCACTAACTATGTGCCAGGCACCGTTTTATTATTATAATAAGTACTTTATGTGGATTCATGCCTTGAATCCTTATTAAAACACTCATATGAGTTAAAGTACTGTTGTAGTTTCCATTTGATAGGGTTATAGGAGGAAACGTAAGTAACTCATTTAAAGTCGCACAGCTAGTAAGCGGTCCCAACTATTCACAGTGGCTCTAGAGCACTCTGTTCTCACACTGTCAGGCTAGCAGCTCTCAAAGTGGAGTCCCTGACCAGCAGTGTCGCATCACCTGGGAGCTTGTTAGAAATGCACATTCTTCGCCCCACCCCAGACCTGCCGAATCACAAACTCTGGGTTTTAACACGTCTCTGGGTGATTCTGGTGCACATTGTCCCGTGCTGATCACATCTCATAGATAGCAGTGTCTCTGCCTGTGGTAGCACTCGGGAGGGGACCCTGCCCCGTCGTTGCCATCTTATGATAGACAATTACTGTACATTGTCTTCTTTTCTTGTTTGTTCCCATCCAGTTTGCCCCCTTCCTCCAGTAATATGTTTGGCGGCCTTGTAGGTGAAGCGTTAACAATATTTTCAGGACAGTAACCTCAAAACACTTTATTATCAACATGCTTCGTTTTCTTTGTAAAATAAAACCAACTCACTTTCAAGGTTTGCACCTGGCCTGAGCGAAGTTGGTGGTGCAGATCAGGAAGATAACAACTTGGAAGGTTTGGTTTTGTGGCCAGTTTTTCTGGAAACGTGTATCCCAGAGCAGGCTGGGCAGGACTCCGTGTTTCACTGTCACGGTCACACCACCTTGTCTTGAGTTCACAGGATGCAAGTGCCACATGTGGAAGACAAGTGCTCTTTGAGTAGGGGACATATGTGCGGGGACTTGGGTCTAACTGTGTTACCCGGATTCTGAGGTGGTTTTCTACATGGTCTAAAAGAGGTGTTTTTTTGTTGAAAACTGCAGGACACAACTATTATAGTATTTGAGTTGCTTTGATAGTTATGGATATAGGATACATCTGTTGTCCTTTCCTGGTCACCTTGTGGAGTGCTGGGCCCTTTCTAATGTTAGCCATTTAATCTTCAAAACAGCCTTTGAGATGAACATTATGCCCATGTGGCCATCAAAGCACCTGAGGCTCTGATAAGTTGGCTTTGTGCAGAGTCCCCCACCTGGAAGCACAGGGCATGCGTGGGGTCTGCCTTCCTTCCACCACACCCCAGGCCCAAGCTGATAGAGTTCTAGGCCCTTCCCAGGTGTTATCTCATTTAATTCTTTTAACCCCTGAGGTGGGTGCTCCTGGGAGACCAGGCAGCAGGAGAGGCAGCTTTGCTCTCACTGTCTTTCCAGGGAGAGGAAACGTTTGGGCTGTGTGTTTTCTGGCCACTGAAAACTTGCACAGTGCAGGCCGGACATGGTGGCTCACGAGACTAATCCTAGCACTCTGGGAGGCCGAGGCGGGAGGATCGCTTGAGGTCAGGAGTTTGAGAACAGCCTCAGCAAGAGCGAGACCCCATCTCTACTAAAAATAGAAAGAAATTAGCTGGACAACTAAAAATATATAGAAAAAATTAGCTGGGCATGGTGATACATGTCTGTAGTCCCAGCTACTTGGGAGGCTGAGGCAGGAGGATCGCTTGAGCCCAGGAGTTTGAGGTTGCTGTGAGCTAGGCTGACGCCACAGGACTCTAGCCCAGGCAACAGAGCAAGACTCTGTCTCAAAAAAAAAAAAAAAAAAAACTTGCACAGTGCAGAAAACAAAATTGATCTCAGGTGCTGAGTGGAGTTCTTGGAGGAGGGCTCTGTTTGCTTTCCTTTCCTCAAGCCTCTCTCCTCATGATAAGGTCAAGTAATGGGTCATTGTCCCTCTCTGTGCCTGAGCAGCTGCACCGGCATGAGGAAAATACTGGTGAAAAGGGAAGTTTCTGGTCATCAGTTCATTGTGGGTTGTTGCATGGCAGATTCCCATTGTTTTCACAAGGAAGTGCTTTAAGAAGCCTGACTTCCTAATTTCTTCTCACCTGGGCATTTCCAAGGCTATTACCCATTCGCAAGATGAGTCATTAAATTTCTGGCAAGTGTCACTCAGGATTGCTCAGGAGATGGCGGGATTTGGAAAGAGCATGTGGAATGGTCTGGAGTCTGAATGCTTTCATTAGCAGGTGTAGGTTCCCCGAGGTCACAGGCTTACAGGAAAGCGTGCATCCCTCTGTAGGGGTGGCTTTAAGAGTATGTGAGCAGACAGCATCAGTCTTTTGCACAAAGGCAG